CACACACACACACACACACACACACACACACACACACACACACACACGCCGCTCACGCACACACTCCCACACGTGCCTAGCATTAAGGTTGCCTAACCTAATTTGTTTTTTTATGTAAATTTTTATTCATTCATTATATTTGTTTAGAATAGCACAATTAGTTCAAAATGTATGTATATTTTAGCCCAGCCCTCGATACTCTTGTCCCGCATGTGATCTAAGGGAGAAGGGGGTGACTGAAAACCAGCGCTGCGACTGTCCTGGACAGGAGCAGCACCAGCTGAGACACCTCCTTTTGCCTCCTGTACTGCAATGTTTAGTTATAGTTGGTAGTCTAGTGGTTGATATATGTATAGTTGTTATTTTGTTTGTTGTAACAAGGAGGCAATAAAGAGAGATTTTATTTTTTATTTTTTTATTTTAAAAAAACGGATCGAGAGAGGAATTTCATGTTAGGAAATGTGTACAACAGAGAAAAAAAATCTAATAATAATATTATAATAATGATATAGGAATTTTCTACATTTTTATATTGTTTTCTACAATACATAAATACATACATAAATCCTTATAAATATGTGATTGATATACCTAACATGGTAACAGTACCGAAATGGACGTAGGAAGAGGTATATCTAATTGGATAAGGTTTTGGAAAAGGAAGGAATAATATTTAGGGCAGTTTGAAAATATGTGGTCCAAATGTCCAACTTGGCCACATTCGCATAAATCAATGTTAACGATGTTCAATTTCACAAGGTGTGCACGAGTACAAACATGACCCAACGGCATACGAATCAAAACAGATGTTGTCAATCTATTTTTAAGCGACGACAACCATGGTTTTACAGGAATAGAAGATTGAATGTAAGCATAAAATTTACCTTTTAATTTACTGCTTTCAGACCACATCATACCCCAATCATGTCTAAGGAAACGTATAGGAAGGGTTGCCAAATCGTGATTATAATTTTTATAGTACGCCGTGTCCCCGTCAAGAGCAGCGTCATTTGCGAGCTGATCAGCACGATCGTTTCCATGAATTCCGGAATGACTCGGTGTCCAGGAGAAAACTACAGACAAGCCTTTCGAAGAGCAAGCTAACAACAAATTTCTAATTTCGAGTATTATTGGGCAAAGCATTCGTGTTTTAAAATGAAATCTAGACAGTACCTGAACGGCACTCATAGAATCGGAAAAATGACAGTATTTCTTAGCTTAGCTGAATGAACATACTCGACTGACTTGTACAGACCGAAACACTCTCCAGTAAAAACCGAAGTTTCTGGAGGCAATATAATTATTTGAACATTGTTATATTGTTGATGATACACACCAACGCCAACAACACCGTCGCTGCCATGCTTATAAGCATCACTAAAAATGCAGTGCCACGATTGTAAGTCCCTGATGAAATTGAAAGTATGAGAGTTTTCAATAGAATTCTTATTGATACCTAAAGACAAACGGATGTCCAGAGATAAAACTAATGCTTCGTATTTAGTAGAGAAAAGAGGCAAACAAAGGGAATTATGAATTAGAGTTTGCAAAGACAAACACTTACGGAAACTAATAACCAGACAAGGAAGAGATTTATGAGTCCAATAAGCAGATGTTGATGCGTCAGTTGAGAGGCGTTGAAGTTGCAACAAAAGAGGATGTTTTGTAAATTCCATGCAGCGGAACAGATATTTATCGGAGAAGTACTGACGTCTCAATTGAAGAGGAGGTTCCACACACTCCACTTGCAACGCATTAATGGGACTCGAATTCATCGCTCCCAGAATAATTATTAAAGCTTTAGATTGCACTCTATCATTTTTTTTAAATGCCGATGAGTAACATGGGTCAAGAATAAAAGATGCATAATCGAAAAGACTCCTAATAAGTGAATTATACAATAATTTTAAACAAAAAGAATGTGCTCCCTACCAAACACCCGTAGAGTCCCGTAAACACACGTCCGCCAAAGCAAAGGTTTCCCGCCATTGACTTTATTTGTAAGTCAATGTTTCCCGCGCTTTTTTTTCGACACATGTTTCATGTCGTCAGCAATGGTCGGAAAAGGTGTTTCACATTAGACATAGGGCGCACTATAAGTTTCCGGAACTGGCCACTTACATAAACAATATTTAAAAAGTAATTACAACATTTGGAAATGAAACTCTTTGGCTGTAGAATACAGTTTGCTTCATCTGACATTCACTTGTTTTTACATTGTGGCGTCATTTTAGAAATTGGTTGTCTACAATTTCTAAAATGACGCCGTAGATTTAACTCGTGAAAATTTTCATAGTATAATTTTTTACGATTTAAGGGTCGTATTCAAGAACTCTACTCAATACTCAAGTCAGGACTTCAGTATTGCAATGAGTACTGAAAATCATACTCAAGTCCTTGCCATTAGGGTCGTATTTCCAGTGCTTGAAATCATACTCAAGTCCTGACTTGAGCATTGAGTAGAGTTCTGGAATACGACCCTAACTGAAACATAACAGCTCAGCGGAGCTTCACTCGGCTTCAAACTGCTTTTGGCGATGAAGCACCATGCAAGACGACTATTTATATCTGGTTTGCAGAATTGAAACGCGGTCGTGTGAATCTCAGTAATGAATTTCGTGATGGTCGCCCGTCCACTGCTGTGAACAACAAAAACATCGATGCTGTGTGCCGTATGATCAAAACAGACGGGTGGGATGTGACATACCATGAGATTCGGGCATCTTTAGGCATAGGCATGAGTCAAATACAATCAATACTTTACAAATATTTGGGTGTGAAAAAACTGTGCTCTAGGTGGATCCCACACAATTTGACTGAGACTCAAAAAACGGATCGCGTCACTTGGTGCTATGCCATACTTACCAGATTCAACAAAGGGGCGTCAAATTTGGTGTGGGACATAGTAACAGGCGACGAAACGTAGATTTATAGTTACGATCCAAAAACAAACCAGTAATCGAACGTATGGGTCTTTCGAGGTGAACCGAAACCAACCGAAGCGCGAAGTGGCGCGCGTGCAAAGTGCCTCTAAGCGGATGATTGCTTCTTTCTTTAATAAAACTGGACACGTGGCTACTGTTGGTTTGGAGAATCGTTGTACCGTGGATAGTGATTGGTACACGACCATTTGTTTGCCGGAAGTTATTGACAAACTCCATAAAAATAACCGTAAACGCAGTATCATCTTGCACCACGATAATGCCAGTTCTCACACGGCCAGACAGACAAATGAATTTTTGAAGGTGAACAATGTTGACCGTATGAGCCATCCTGCGTCAGTCCCGACCTGGCACCTTGTGACTTTCATTTATTTCCAAAAATTAAAAACCAGTTACAACGATTTTCATCATCTGAAAAGGCTGTTGAAAAGTATGACAAATATGTTTCAGAGATCGTCACGGAGGAGTGGCATAAATGTTTTCAAAATTGGTTCATTCGTATGAAAAAGCGTATTAACGCTAATGGAGAATGTTTTGAGAAACAATTCATTTCTGACTTACTTACTTTTCTGACTTAGAATTTTTTCTTATTCATTCCGGAAACTCATAGTGCGTATAGATACATGTATAGATATAGCTACAAGGAGCAACATAGAGTTGTTAAAATGATCAAATATGAATTAATTACTTTTTTGAATTAGGGATTGGACGGAAATGGTGTTACGGCATCGTAGGACAAAACTACTGACCTAGAAGGTCGAAGTTGGATTTTAAAGTAATTTAATTAATGGCGCCATGAGTTAACATATAACATTTACTTCAATTTATTAAGGCTAGAACAGTCGCGAATGACTGACGATTTGACCTCTAAGCGTTAGTAACAATTTCATACGCCATCTATCGACTACGCGCTTGTATTTACACAAAATCAAATAAAGATAAGTTGTAAATTAGAATACAGACATGTCACAAGTGTTTTTTTGCAATCTATACCTACATTGTTGTTCCCTCAGAGACATTCGAGAATAAACCATCGTAAAAATAAACACAACACATTTTAGGGTTAAAATCGTAACAGCAGTAAATCATGCAATGATTCAATCGTCACATCCTATCAATTAATAAGTAATGCTTCTATTTTCAACAATAAATGAGTAGTATGTTGTTTAAATTAAAACAAGTACTTTTATTCGCTGTATTTTAAATGCATTTAACAAACGTCAATATTAACTAATGCTTCATCGAAAGTATAACTTTTATGTATTATTCAATTTGTTTTATACAATACATAAATAAACACTAAAAGAAATAAAAGTGATTACGACCAATACGACTAATTTGTTTTTTACCGATTGAAATGCCGACAATAACAAGTACATAATGATACGTATTTTGAATTTGAACCCACAATCAAGAGTTACGGAATAAACTCTGCGGCACTATCTAGAACACCTAGGCCTTCTCTTCCAGAAAACCTAAACCTTCTCATCCAGTGGCATATTATTTGCATGTCTATTGTACAAATTCCACACTTCACCTTAGATTTGTTTTTCATTTCGGCATATCTATATTGTATAGTCTTTGGTAGTTGTTAAAAAAGATGCAATGTAAATATAACGAAATAACTAATTTATAAAACCTAAAATATAAAAATAAAGTCAAATATATATACAAAAATTAAATTTAATACAAACTCAAATGAAATTAATTAAAAACAGCAACTTTTTGTGGCATAAAACCACTCAAAAACACACACGCAGTCCACAGACTGAGCAGTCTTTACGACTGAGCATAGTACTGCGCACACCTCACGAGTGGGAAGGAATTATTTTTTCAAATAATAACACTTAACTTATGAACTAATATTAATATAAAAAAAGTGAACAATACATTCTGTTTGAAATTAAATTATCTACTTTTTCGTGTAAATTTTATAAACAACAGATGTTTGCATGTAAAGAGAAATTGCTTTTTATTTAATTTGAAGGATGTAACTGTAAATTGTATTTTGTAAAAAGAGCTTAGTAAATTGTAGTTTTGCTCAATACATTCAATCATTTAAGGACTACTAGCAATCATATATTTTTTTTGTGATTATTGGACTATTATTATTATCAGGAATTTAATTTAAAAAGAGCCTAATTCCTCAGTCTGGCACCTGTTCCAGCTTTAATCAACAAATTAACAAATTGTGAGTTTATGAAACTAGTATTATTTATTCTGTAGGTATAATGCCCAGTCAATATAAAACAAACTAAAAAAAGGGAAGCTACAGCAATTACCTGTAAGTAATATCTTGACTCCACTGGCACCGACAGACTTGTAAAATGTCAAACCTTTGGAGCCTTCGAAAGGTACTGCATCAGGGTTCAGATATTTGTCCAAAAACTCTGATAACCTTCTATGCTCGTGACACCTTTCATCTACAAACTTTAGCGGTTTTGTTTCAACATTAGGGAAAACCCATTCCACCCTCCAGCTGATTATATTGGATTTGTAGTTGTATCGGGTGGTGTTTGATTTGTGCCGAGTGAAGTTTTGAGCTAGGAATTGTAGAACAATCCCTCTCTTACGTGCTGCCAGTTTTAGTTTATATAAATGCTGGAATAAATTATATTTACAGATTTATTTTACTAATATTAAGTGATGGGACAATCAAGTCACAGGCACAAGCTTTAAATCGAACAGATCTGGGGGATACTGCCACTGCACCCGTTAACCCGAGACAATTAAGTTGACAAGTCCCATGAGCAGTTTTACTATATAGCACCCTTACCCTTCAAAATGGAATGGATGCAATAATGCCCCATGTTACTGCATGTCGGCAGAAATAGATAAGGTAGCAATACTTCCTTTGGTGAAAGCTTTCACAAGTACCTGTAATGCTAGTAACTTATAACTTTGAATACATTGGAAAACTAACAGTGACACTAGAAACTTGCTATTGGTCTTGTTAAGAAGGCTTATCAAACTTACAATAGGCAAATCCTTGTCGATTCTAGTAAACCTCTTCTTATCATCTCTCTTTACACCGTATACGAACCGAGCACACTCCTCGAGAAGTCTATAATCGCTCAACAAGTCCGTGTCTTTGAATTCCTTCAGTCTGATGAACTTTGTGCGGTCGCGCACACCATCGCATTCCAGCTCTTTCTTGTGTGTCTGGACGCAAGTGAGACAGCAAGTTTTCACCTCACACTTGGGGCACGAGTAAATGGCATCATTGTCCCCGCAAACTTCGCATTCACCCAGTCTGGAATAGAAAAGAAAGCAAATACTTAGTTGTGGAATTTTAGGTTACAAATTTTTAAATAAAATAATATGCGATGTTAATGATGAAATTACCTTGAGATGACTGGCTTTTTATATTCAGGTTCGCTGTCTGAAGAATCTGTCGTCGAAGACATCGTTCTATGAAAAACAAATAAATTAAATCGAAATGCCAAAAACATGTGTTACATTACAATTTTCTTTTTGATGGCTTTGGAATTATGGAAATATACAGGTGTCCAGTAAAGAATGGATAAGCCTGAAATGCCCTATAGTAGAGCTTATGAACGTTCAAAAAAAAGAAAAATATATCGCATGTAGTACCTAAGATAAAAAGGTTTTTCTTTAAATTTAATTCTTTTCAGCTTATTTTACGTTTATGTACATCACGACTACAAGTTAATCAATTCATTCGGTTTTTTGGTGTCATAATATTCTATATTAACTGTGCTAATAGATAGGCAGTAAAATAAATTAGTAAAAGTAAATAGTATGACTAACTACGGCACTTAAATTTAAAAAAAAGTTTTTTTAATAGCAACATAGCAACAATTTTCTATTTATATTAGATACAATAATGAAATATACCATTTTGAAATCTAGTTTAAACACACATTATTTTAGAATAGTTGGCCACTCAGCTTATCATAATAATTCTTTTATTATGCTTCTGAAAATTTGTAGTTCTTTTTAGTTTCATAAGGATTTCTTGAAAAGAAAAAAATGTGAATTTAATTTGTTAAACTGGCTAGTTTAAGCATGTTGTGCCTAAGCCAATAAATTAAAAAAGAAATAAAAAAGAAAAGAAGTTAAACAAAAACAAAGCCGCACCAATAGCGCTTTACGTCGTAATTTTATTATTTTTCAATTTATTTAACACAGAAAGCTATAATGAATACAACCGAGCGTCAAGGAGACGATTGGGACCTTCCTTGCTCCGATGATGAGTTATCAAAAAATGGCGTGACTATCGGCAAAAGTTGGATGCCCGACCCTTCGGAATTGGAGGAACTTTACAAGAATATTGATAAAAGCGGGATACTTACCCTAGAGTGGAAGTGTCCAGGGCGGCGTGCCCCTTCTCCAGTGCCGGTTAGTAAAGAGAATCAACCCGAGGTACCTATGTCGCCAGTGAGGGAAGAAAAATCGGACTTCGATTTCATGGATGAAATGAGTTCTTTGCGATTACGAGTGCGCAGAGACGGTGAGCATACTTTGAGGGGCTCGGCTAAAAAGAAGACGACTTCTTTCGACGGAATTTTATCTAACATGATCAGACACAAGCGCATTGAGCAAATGGAGAAGCAAGCGACGACGCCTGGCACTACCCCCACACCAACATCCAACGCTACTTGAGTGCTAACTGTCTCATGACGTATTCAGTACTGTTTACAATGGTGTTGTGTTAAGATTGCAATACTGAAAAATGAACTCTTAAATCCTACTTGGTAAAAATGTCTCGGGTTTACTCCTTACCATTTTAAAGGATTGTATAATATAGCTGGAGGAACATGGAAGCAAACAGTAAAAGATAGGGAGAAATGGAAATCTCTGGAAGAGGCCTATGTCTTAGGACAAGTTGAAAGGTACTGAGTCAATAAATTGAGTAATAATAAATAAGTAAAATATAATAAGTATGCATGCCATACAATGTATTAGATAAGTAAGTAAGCTATCAGCAATAGAAAGAAAGAAAGAAAGAAAGAAAAATAGTTTATTTGGTAACCATAATACAAATAGAACGTGAAAACAAAAATTAAAATAACCTTATTATAACATTAAAGGCTATAAAAAAATTATAATAATATAGCTGGTCAAGTGAAGCAGTTTTATATTTCAATACTACCAACACTCTACAAAATATTTGAAAAAAATAATTCTAAATAAGATGTGTGCAATTTTTTATAGTAATAACTTATGTCTCCTAAACAATTTGGTTTCACTCGGGGTCACTCTACAACTGATGCTGGTGTTGAGATGATGAAGCATATATTTGATGCATAGGAAGACTCGCATAACGCTATTGGTGTATTCTGTGACCTTTCAAAGGCTTTTGATTGTGTGCACCATGATACTCTGGTCAGGAAATTTCGCCATTATGGTGTGGCGGGATGTGACCTCGACCTTCTTAAATCGTACTTGAGTGGTAGGGTCCAGTGGGTCGATATTAACGGTACGAGATCATCAGTGTCTGCAATAAGCATGAGTGTCCCTCAAGGTTCAATTCTAGGTCCATTTTTGTTTTTAGTTTATATTAAATGACTTACCTAGCCTCTTGGAGGGTTTAAAACATGAGATAGTATTGTTTGCTGATGGTATTTCATTATTATTTAAAGTTAAAAGGCACCAATGTTCCTATGACGATGTGAACAATACTATATCTAAAGTAGTTGATTGGTTTGCTGTTAATAACGAAATAAATATGCTTCTTAATGAGAAAAAAACAAATTGTGTGCAAATTTACATTACCCAATGTTAGAGAGATGGTTACAAACATTGTAGTTAGAAGCGAAAAATTGAATCTTGTGGATACAGTTGTATTTCTAGGTATAACGTTAGATGCTAAATTGGAATGGGGTCCACATATAAGTAAGTTATTAAAACGGCTCATTTCTGCAGTGTACGCGATAAAAAAAATACGGAAACTTTCAGACGTCGAAACCGCTAGATTAGTTTACTTCAGCTACTTTCATAGTCCAATGACATACGGCATTTTGCTTTGGAGTAATGCCGCCGATATCAATAGAATCTTTGTCCTGCAGAAATGTGAGGTTAAGGCAATTTTCATTTTTCATCTATTAAAATGTAATTTATGTTAAAAGGAATAGTAATCTCTTTATGAATAATAGTGACAGACGTAACATTAATACGAGGAATAAATATAAACTAGCTGTTCTTGATAGTCGTCTTCACAAGGTGACAAATTAATTTAAGGGGCAATGTATACACTTGTATAACAAGATTCCGGTTGATTGCCATTCACGAGATTTAAAACTATAGTGAAACAAAAACTTTATACAACTTCTGCGTACTTGAATGACAAAAATCCAAGGTAGTAACCCGTTTAGCTCATGGAGGTAGTCTCGATCTCTGATGTTTGAAAGCAAAACAAAAAATATATTGTAAATGTTGAATGCATACAAATGTTATTTACAAAGAGCAATGCCTAGAGTTTCTTGCTCATCCTTCTCAGGGGAATCTGCGTCACGAATGAGCAGTAGATTTAACCAATGTGACAATTTCAAGTGTAATAATGCTTACCTATGAAATAAAGATTATTTTGATTTTTGATTTATATGTAAAACAAAATTGTATAAATCAGACTTTTATTCATTATTTTTTTATTTACTCTCTACTTCTACATATTTACAAATATTTTTAAATTACCACTCCATGCCATGTTATGCTGTTAGCTTGGCATATGTAGGTGTGAGCAGTTGTTCATTGTCTTCTAACAGCTGTTGACATTTGTGTATATTTTCCACAATATGCTCTAACTGCCAATGCTTTCGCAGTAACGCGTAGCTCAGGTCGAACTTGCCCTGTCGTATGCACTGCACTCCCACGCAGTGAGCTGCTGTCTTCAACTGCACTCCCAAATCATGGACCAAGGTCCAGAGATATTTATCATACTCGTTTACTGATTGGATTTCTGTTAACAATATGTTGACAATTGCAAACACAGTGGTCATAATTTCTTTAATCATTTATATGTACAATATTCTAGATCAACTCACCATCTAGGTACCCTAATGCTCATCACTCTCCTATAGAAACAATTTGAACGCCTTGGAATATAATATTTCTTATTATATTACTTCATTAAAATACATCATACAGTTAGGTATATAACCATTTTTTAAATTTTACTTCAGCTTACCTAGTGTGAACTTGGGTGGTTCATAATAAACACATTTGATGCCATAAATAACAGGCAACTTGTTATTGGCTGGCCTGATGGGACCCTGAGAGGCCATCTCGTAAGCTGTCTGCGAGTCCATGTGAAGCCCTGATAACCTATAGAAGAAAGTCTATTTTACAGAAAAGATTACTTTGAGTAGAGATTTTATTGATCTGCTGATATGTAATTATAGAAATAGAAATAATTTATTCCTTGAATAAACATCAATAACAACAACAAACTGTATAGTTTGAAGATTGTTAGTTATCAAATACATTTGGTAACCAAATTAATTTATCTAGTTCTGTTTGTACAGCAGCAGATGCAATCAGGCTGTTGATGATGATGATTTCGTGTACATACTCAAACATAGTCTTCTGATGTGCAGCCTGCATGTGTGCCACAACTCTGTCAATTTTCTCCCTGGTCACATGGCCATATGTAGCTCTCTCCACTGTTTTGCCGTTCCAGAAATATGTGTCCGTGGCTTTGCCCAGTTGCCCATGTACTTTAAATGCTCGAGTTGGTCTTGCTGTATTGATTTTGTATGTTAATTTAGTGCCGTCATTTATTCCTAGTACTGAAAAGAAATATCCATTACTTTTTAACTGTGAAAAGACATTTTATATATTTTATGCAAGAAAAGAAAATAATGTGCACATAAAGTCAAATAACTTACATAACACTCCACTGCTGAACAGGCCCAAATGCGTTGCCCAGCTGCAGCGAAAATCTTCATGTAGGTACCTTGGGCCACATACTAAAGGATTGTCAGCATAGTTAGGCACTAATTTCACCTCCATGCGCTCATTGGTTGCCCCCGTTATCTCAACTCGCTTCTCGAGTGGGCGATCCGGCAGAGCGTTTAAATCTGTAAATAATTATCTGAGCCATAACAATGATTACGAAACGCGCAAAACCTAAAATCAAAGTCGGCTAAAAATTAACCTCTACATAAGTTAGTTATTATCGTGTGTTGCACTTGCCGCACAGCAACGCAGGGCGGTTTGTACACACAAATAAGTCCATTAAGTCTTTTGAATGCAACCGCAGCGTTTCGACATTTAACCATTTTCTAAAATTATTATTTGAAACATTATCGCAAACAAGCGTAAGTGCGAGTATCTCTCTCACACACACTCTCGGAGAGAGACCGAAGAATTGACACATAATATAACATTTATAAAGATAGGTTCTTGCAATCAGTAATAAGATCGATAGTGGTGCTCATATAATGAAATCGTTTGTGTAATAAGGAAATCAAAGTCGCACTTTAACATTACATAAATACATTTGAAAGTATTTGAATAATTGTTAAAATGATTTTTGTTTACAGAGTAGTAAATAAAACTGGGACATGGAAAATTTTTCCTAAAAAATAAAAAACATATTTTTCTCATATTTTTTCAATACATTTCAGTGAAAGTTGAAGTTACTGAACGAAAATAATAAAGGCTTTTTTTTGCTGTTTCTGTGTCCAATCCTTTATTTTTTTCCATCCTCTAAGGTCCAATTATTGTTTAACTCGTTTTCACTATCTTGCTTTTAGCTATATAATTTATTTTATAATTGACGCTAAACAAAACTTTAAAAGATATTTCTAAACGGAGAACATAACATGAGACTTCGAATTATATTTTTCAACTATTCAGAAATTTCCGAAAAAATTTCCACTATTTGAATTTTTTTGGAAAATGACACAACAGTACATAAAACTAACCTCATAAATAATATTACTTCCAGTGTTGCCATAAAAATTCAATTTTTTCATTTTCGTACCAAAGTTACCACAGAATTTTTTTTATAGTGAAAGAATTAATTACGAATCTTGGATTTTTCTCGTGATTACACCATATTCAATAAACTTGAGATATATTTCTTCGTGTATGGTACGTGATACAATAACTGAGTCGTGAAAATTTATTGAAACTATTTATTTTGGTGGAACAATCAATTTAACACTTGTATCATTCATTTAAAAAAAAATCATTTGACGTGACAAGCGAACCTACGGCGGTGCCTGCCTGTGACTGTCTACGACCGTAATCGAGTCGAAGTCGAATCGAGCAATGGCCGCCTGCGGCTGACTGATGGGAGGAAATTGTTGCAGTGCTTGAATGGGTGACGGGAGAGCCTAATTTAGTGTTCTATTTTATTGTCCTTTCCGTGAAAGAACATATAACTTTTGCTGTGTGTTGTAGCATAGTGAATATACTGTGATTATATGAAATAAGACAGTGAGAATTTGTGTAGGTGAGAAATACGAACGTTGGCTCGATTTGTATGAAACTTGTTATTGGTAAGTAGTGTAGTTTTATTCTTCGACTGTGGGGCCACTTAACTTCACGATTCTATACTGCTTGTTCAGTGTGTCTTTATGGAACCTAGGCGACGTGGTATGCTGACAACGTAACCAACCAGTTTTTGGGAAGTTTTATGAGATTTGGAAGGTTCAGTTTGATTTGCCAATTCGTTGCGTGACAGTGTACTTCCTAATAGCACGCGGCGGTAGGCCTCTGTCCGTGCACTGTCACTGCCACTATTCCAGGGACTTCCTTTCCAATTGGAATGTTTCTCTGTTGTAAAATTTATCAAGTGTTATTTTTGAAACTCTTAAGAACGTAAGTTCCTTTAACTTGTTGTGGAGAATTAGTAGGTAGTGGAATTTCATTTGCCACAAATGTTTTTCTAGGCATTAAATTATCTAGACATTTTACAGCTCAACTGTACATTACCATCGCACGAGTTGAGAGTTGGAATTAATATGGTGAATAGATTACACAGTTAGCAGTCTAATCCTTAAAACAATACTGCCCTCAGAACACAAAAGGGCACAACTGCTGTATAAAGTATGCATAGTTGTGCCTTTTTTCATTATGAAGACATTGTACTTGCAATGAACGCTAAGCCAACTTTTTTTTTGTCACTTTCTGTTATTTTGTAAACAGCCATATTTATTTACTAATATTTTGCTCCGTGAATATTGTGAAAAGAAAAAATGAAGAAACAAATAACTAAATTTGAAAAGAAAAACAAAAACATAATAAAAACAGAACAGGTCCAAAAAGTTAGCATAGTGTTCATTGGAGGTATCAAAATGTTATATAAACTTCCTTGTAAAAGTAGTGGTGGTCTAACGTCACTGCTTTGTCAATCGAATAAAATTATTCAAGTAGATAAAACTTTGTAGACTAAACATACACATTATTTTCACCATATTTAGATTTGCTTCTGTGCTTCTAGAAGCAATAGTGGTACAATATTAATAACATTAGTAATAGTTAAAAACCAAAAACAATGATTTGCAACCAGGGCCATTCCAAAGTGACGGGTGGGACATTTTCACTCCTTTTTTCTTCAACTTTAAGTAATTCGACCCTAACCATTGGTTAATTAGACTTAAAATGAAAATATCATGAAGCTGGATGTGCAATTCAACTGCAACTATTTATTCACATAAATTTATGGCACTATTTATACTCAACATTTTTAATTTTCTAAGTGTGACGGGTGAGACACTCACGACACCCGCCTGTTTGAGTTGATGGCTTCATTAGCAAGATCAAGACAAACTATTAATATTTTGTTCAGCAAGTTTTTCATATGAGATAACTTAAATGTTAAAGTTCTATTTTATATATACACTTAATTGATAAATTTATTTTTGATAACTTTGATAAATTTTAAGGAAATTAATATGTTAAGTTGTGATGGGTGGGACGAGTTACAATTGAATACACAGAATTAATAAAATTACACTGTTTAATATGTTAATATAAGATCCATTATTAATAAGCAAATATGTTATCATTTTCATCTTATTAAGACATTTTAATATTAAAAAGAAACAGAATTAAAGAACTGATAAAGTAATCCTATTATTTTTATATAACTGCCTCCGTGGCCGAACGGTTACTATGCCGGACTGCCACGCAGAGGTCCCAGGTTCGATTCCCGGGCCGGGAGAAATAGTTAATAGTTTGTGGTTGTCTATGTGTGTGTCCATGGCACCCGCGACACAGGGTTTCCCTAGTGCGGGGCTATGTTGAGTGTGTGCGTTATTATTATTATTATTTTCCTGAAACTCTATTTATGACGACATGAAATCAAAGTCACGCATGTAAAATGTGTTAATAAATTTTTAAAATCCTGCCGCATCCTTGAAGATTATGTATCATATCAAAATATATAGTTAAAACTAGTCAAGTTTTCATGAATTTCCTGATACTAAAAATCATCAGGAAAAATATTGTCAGTTTTTAATTGTTTTTTTTTTTATGTGTTAAAATGTCTTAATTATGAGAAGAAATGTAAAACATTTGCTTACAAATAATGGATCTACATAAAAACCGTGTATTTTTTAATTCCATGTATTCAAATGTAACTTGTCCCATCTGTCACAAAATGGTGTCCCAATCGTCACAATTTAACATCTCAAATATTAAACTCCGAAATTAAAGCAACTGTTACACCTAGTAAACATCGTAAAAACTGAAATCCATGAATATACAAACATTTATTAAAAGTAAAAACGTTTAGAAGTGTGTCCCACCCATCCCTGAGACGGGTGGGACACATTTTCAAATATTAATATTTGCATTCCTATTTACGTGCGCAATGCCCAACCAAGCCAAAATAATGACCCTTACCATAATTGTTACTTTTACAAAACCAAATGCCAATTGATTGCATATTTATTGGTTAAAATAAAAATATATATGTTTCATTGTGACGGGTTGGACTTGTAATCAGTATTTATTGAAACTTTAATAACTCCTCACCATATATGCTTCCATGCAATCACTTATCACTGTTTTAAAATTCCTAAATTGTATTTTCTTTGACAGTAATAACTGTTTTAGAAAGACGCACAGTAACCACAAAAATTGGTAACATTATAGGATTAAATATATATACGACACTATAGACGACAGCACTATAGCTGCGTTAATGACGACAAAAAATACAATAGTTGTACAATATCCGAAATATCTCATTTATTTCTAATGATTTGATTTATTGGGCGTATTCTAGTCATACAATTAAAACCAAATTGTGTAATTTATTTTTTGAATCATGGTGTCATTTTCGCTGGAATGACCCACAAGCACATAGAAAAATTCATAAGGTCCGTTGGTTTGTTCCGTTACTTAGTTGGCGTAGCGTGGTTTGCTAGAAGACGCTGGTTCAAATCCAGCCGGATCGAAATATTTTTCTCAGTGTTCAATCTTTGTATTAATAATTATAACAAACTAGTGAAGCAATTTTACAAAAATAATTGAATATCATGGTGAAACATTGTGGTATTCAATAAAAACTTAAAAAATTTACATTGCCAAATGTTATAGATTGTATTCAATTAATAACTGTATCTATAGGCACTGGTCAAAATTTACTGTGTGTGGCGCTGATTCCAAACAGGTACATAATAATATACCTTAGCGTATTTTAAATGACCTGTGCATTTTGGTACATCTATCATATCTCAGAAGCTTATGAAGTCCACTGTAACTAGCTATAACATTTTTTTCTGACATAAAATTTAACTAAGATCTCTTCTTCACTCCAACTAACAATGAGAATATTGAGTTTCGCCCGCAATTAATTGCTCCATTGCCTCAGCTAATGTTAATTTAAAAAAATCACACACATTTATTTTTTATTAATGCATACTGTGTGTACTGTACATTGTAAAGAATGTAAAATTCTGTGTCTGAATGTAAAGTTTGTGATGTCACCTATTAAAAGCAAAAACTTGGAGCATCACAATCAGAAATAGTAGCATGTTTACTTTGTCTTTATCAGCATTCATATGCATTTGATGACTGCAAGTGTCACTGCCGAACTTGCAGTTCAACTTGCACGCTCACAGGTCTGCGTTGCGCGAGGCGTGACGCCATTGGCCGTTGGCATCCGCCTCTTATCGCTGCGTTGCCGAAACTGATATATTTTATTAGCATTAATTGTTAAACATTAACTGAACTATAAAATTTTATTATGCACTGATAAGTGTAAAATATTAATAGGCTCGTTTATTCACAGCGAATATTGTTACGCCTTAATTTGTGGTGAGGAAATTATTTTATTTTTATGCTACCAAGTGATGGGACGAACAAGTCGTGCGTCTGTTGGAAAGCGACACGCCTGTCCATAACAGTTGCAATGCCACTCAGAGCTTTAAACCATAACGAACTGTGGGGGCACTCCCACTGCGTCCGTCACTCTAAGACATAAGTTGACAAGTCCCATGTGCCTGTAACTTCATAAGCACCTTTCAAAACCGGAACTCAGTAATGCTAACATTACTGCTTGGCAGCAGAAATAGATAAGGTGGCAAGTACGTCCCTGGACGATGGATATCGTGTTTAAATTATAAATTAAAAACACCGCCTATGTGCATTCAGGTTGAAACCTACGAAATTTTATAATATCCTATTGGTGTAGTCAATATCAATGACCACTGTGGCTAAAGGTTGTGCTGCATATTTTAAAAACACGCATGTAACGGGTCGCACACGACGACTGTTGTTGTAACTCACCGAATATTCTATATATTTAACATTTACAAACTTAAAAGGTTTATTTAATATTAAATGTCGTAATTTCCTTGTTTTCTTAGTAAATGTAACATTGCTGCACGTAGGAAATTAAACTCATTTTTCGGATCTATAATAGCTTATCTATATTTCGATACCTCCAATGAACACTACGCGAATTTAACTTTGGGACCTATTCTGTTTTGTTTTCACAAAATTTTTTCGATTTTTGTATTTTGTTCTTTTTTTTCACAAAATTCGGGGAACATAATATTAGTAAATAAATTTGCTGTTTATGAAAATAACAGAAATAGACCAAAAAATAATGTTGGCGTTGTATTCATTGGAATTATCTGTTTTTATTTTCAAATAAAGCTAGCTTTCGGGCTCTTTACAGGTCGCATGCTCGCGGCTGACCGCGTTGGCGTACATTTGTCTGAAAACAAATAATGGGATTTTAGATCCGAAAAACGTTTCATTTCCAATCTACACTTGTTGTTGTTTTTTCAAAGGAACAATATTTGACTTTGGATGGAACATGAAATGTGAACGTGAAAAAAGCTCGGAATGTATAATAACCATGTTAGAAATATTAAACCTTTTACGATAGCATAGTGTAGTAATGGTTGTGTGTACGACAGACGGCGGCGGCAAAAACTGCAACCATATTACATCCGATGTGATTGTGCTCTAAATGTTAACGTCTAAATTCTCCGACCGCCACAAAACGCTAGTGTTCCTCAGTTTCGTGTCATCAAAACCT